CAACCAATGAGCGTCCTAAAGAACTCACTAGTCTGGCTATCCACGAGATTGCAATATCTGCCCGACTAGCATTCTACGACTTTCATGAAGAAGATGCAATCCTCAAGTAAGCGATCAATGAGGGGAGACAAATCGAATGTCGCAAGCACTGAGATTTCCACAGTAGAATTGTGGTATTGCAGTTAGACGATATTGGGAAAGCTGTTAGTTTAGGCAACCATCATCGCCGGTATCGACGTGCTTTTCATTGTATTCCACGTTCCGGAGTCATTATCAGCTAAACGTATAGCCAGCGATGTCATTAGTTGGGAGAGTGCGGATCCATTCGCCACCCTTCGTCTTGTCTGGGAAGATAGATTGGTAAGAATCGATTCCACTCTATCTCTACGTCCGGAAAATATTACTTTAGATACTTCAATTAGCTACTATTGTGTTTCTCTCATACTTACCGGAATCTGGTCAATTTTCGTGTTTCTTCGTCTATTTGAAATTGGTGAGTTCCTCTTAGATAGAAATTATCTACTAATGTTCGCTAGAAGCCGCTTGTTCATTGATCAATACCATCTTTATCGCCTATCTCAAACAGTATATTCGACAATTAAACTTTTCTCTAAGTGGAGTCTAGAGCAAGCTTTTAATGGGACATCGTAGCTTTTGATGTCTTGATACTGGCGACTTGTTTCATTTGATCTCACAGTCTATTTGAGGTCCCACTTGCACTCCACTTTTTTCGTGCATGCGATCTAACACCCTCTTTTCTGGCGATATATTATTCTTATCTTTTTACAAAATTGTGTAATTGAGTAACCTGCACACTAACGATGTCTATATTCCAGGTTATCGGATTTTCTCCTGAAGCAGTCGCCGCTTTTATAGCTCTGGTTGGTATACTGTCAGTCCTAGCTCAGACAGGGGTTTTACAGATACTAATCACCTATTTCAACATGAAGCACGTAATTACGTTAGGTCTAATCTTTCAACTAGTTCAACTCACATGGTACGGGCTTGGAACTCAGTGAGTGTCTTATATTTCTTAGCATCTATTTGTTTTTGTTGCTTTTTTGAGCACTGTCATTGTATTGTAAATATGCATAATAAAGTGTTGAGCGGTACGCAGAACATTCGCCTGCGGGTGGAAGTCGCCCTTGTATAGGTGAGGCGCGATTTCAATCTCCCTTCCTCCCTCCCTTCCCTCTGCCTGAGACGAACTGCGAACCACTTGACATTTTAGATATAGATCTACTCACAGAGTCCTGTTCTCATGTACCTTTCCTAATTTATGAGCCATGCTTTTATTTTTTTTTATGCAGATACTGGATGATGTGGGCGGCTGGTGTACTAGCAGGTATGAGCAGCATTACCTATCCGTCTATTAGTGCGTTTGTTAGCATTCAATCAGACAAGGACAAGCAAGGCACTGTTCAAGGCGTAGTCGCAGGCATTCGAGGATTATGCCAAGGTGAATAACGCTGAGTACAATTGAGAGCATTTTATAGTTATTTCCAATTATGCAAGTATTATCAGGAACGATAAATACATTGTCTTGATAAACGACATTGTCTTTTTTGCCTAGTTGTTATTCAGAACACACACTTGATGAAATAAGTCGGATTTGATTGTGGTATAAAATAACTAGTAACTTCCACTTGAGAAGTCAGCTTACAATAAAATATCTGAAATATCAACATAATGAGCTAAGAAAACTCACTGAAACTGTATTTTCTCTATACGACCCGTCTCCATATTTTATTGTACAGATCCTATCCTGACATTCTATTCGCATCTTCACATTCAATAATTGGTTAAGGATTTGGTATTCTTCATGAACATCGTAGACTACTGTTCAGGCATGTCTCCTTGCAGTCTCAGGGATAATCAGACTGCGGCTTTTCTTAGGGCGTTCTTTGATTGATTGCCGGGAGATGTTGGGGTGATTGATCATCACCACACGGAGCGTCATTAACAATTCCTCCCGTCCAGAATGCCGGAATTTCGTTGTTTCGGAAAAACGAAGCTTGTATCTTATAGGTGCAAATCTATATTTTTTTGGCACTTGTTCTCAATACTGAAGTTGAGAATGAACTCAATTATTCCTGATAAATAGCCTCAAGAAGTCCATGCAGTGAATTCGAACTTCAATAACATTCTTCCGAGGCAGCGCACCTCGCGCTTACCCATCGAGGCCATCGATCCGCTTTTAACTGCTTATATTTCACGTCGTATCCTGCCACTTGAGATAAAATAGGTAGCAAGTAGAACTCGAAAGTGAATATTTGTTTGGAACGTAAAGTTACCATTACTTTTTTTATCAGAACAATTCTGCTAGGTGAATGTAAGGTGTAATGTGTCGAAGATGGTGACTATTAGATAATGCTCTGTGGGCTCAAAACGCTTTCCAATGAGAGCAGTAGCTTTCCCTTCCTATCCGATAAAAATCGACAAAAAGACAGGGCTAAACCTCCTTTTTCTCCTTTTTCGCATGGAATAGAAACATTTTTATTGATTATAATTATTCCATTATCATTTGGTCTGACGTGGTCTTTATAATGTTTATGAATAGTCATTTAAGACAGGAAACTATCCAGCCGATAAGATTAAGAATTTCCAACTAATCGTTTCTTATCAATATCATGATGGTATAACTACATATTCAATAAAGTTGAGTGATATGCGAAATTTTCAACCTGAAGCGGGAGTCAAACACGCGCCTCGTCCTTTCACGGAATGCGTGCTAACCATTGCAATGCGGGGCCTGCTGTTCTGCTACCACTCTTCCTGCGATACATGACATCGATGTGTTCAGCAACCAACCGCTACCGGCAAGGGTGAAGGATGGGGCGCATGTTTAACTATGGCCCGAGGTTCGAAGTTTTGCATATCATTCAACATTGGCAGAAGTTTATTCGTTTTAGGCGATAATTGTGTCACACGAAGTTTTCATCTTTACTTCTTTCTTTTGTGTCTACTACTTCTATTTGTACCAAATTGTGTTGATTTCGTAGAAATTTTAGTGAAGTTACTGTGTTTAGGAATTGGACCTGCTCTCTTTGGCTTCATTTTCTACTTATTCGACGTGGATTTGAACGTCGACGATGAAATGTCTGGAGGTCATGCCGGCCAATTTCCAATTGTCCGAATACGACCTCCTCCGTCTCAAACAAAAATATTGACTCCGACAAGGAATGATACTCTTTGGGTAAGTGGATGATTCGCAAAAAATGTTTTGTTCTGTTTCTGAAACATCTTTCCACGTCTGCGTTGTTTTCAGGTCGCTGAGCGTCCGGCGTTCACTTGGCAGCTTATACCGGGCCCCCCGTTTTTGTTAGGTGCATTCTTGGTGCTGTTAGCCCTTATGTTCAATTCAACATTACCTGCTTCCCCGGGTGTAAGCAAGTATTTTCGCAGGTTGGTTTTTGTGCTAGTATGAAATGACGGGTTTGTTCTATCTATCCATTGTATTCGTTTTTGTTGACTTCTCGGTGTTAATGTTTAGTCCTCTTCTGTTCATCTCCCGCTTTGTTTCTTACAACACACAAAAAAAATCCGCAAGCATGGAGATAGTTCTATGAATCATTGATGGCAGAGATGACATGTTATACAGTACTAATGAGGTCGTTGGTGCGATCCTTCACCCCGTATGCACTTCAAGCCTCACATTTACGATGGTGTCCGGATTTGTACCAGACTTGTCTGAAAGGATAGCAGTATTCATTTGATACATCAGTAGGCCACTACAGTCGCGATATAGGCTAGATGTGCAATTTGAATCATTTCCAACGATTCTTGATGAAGTCGAGTTTATGGCGCATTGGTCATGAGATTGGTCAATGCGGAAAGCTTTATCTTTTTTTATCCTTTTACTTATTCCTCTTTTCTCTTCTTATTTTATACCACTTACATAGATAATATCACCTTACAGATCACCTTCACATTCACGACAGTCGTCTGATACTGCGCAGCTACTTCACACGGATAATGGTAACTGTTAAGGTTGATGTGTGATGTCATAGGCGGAAATTTCTCGGCATGTATAGATTGATTTTTGCGTCTAGTTCTTCGATATATTAGATATCATTGGTTATTAACAGGATAATAAGGTTGTTCCATAGCATAAGTAGCAGCTTTGTCTATGTTCCTAGAGAACTACTTAACTAGTCTCAAACATATGACTCACATTTGACTCGTTACCACATATCGTCTTGAGCTCACCACCGTTTATTGTCATCATGGTTGTTTCACTCACTTCCCACTTTTTTACACCGTATTCTTCTCTTTGTGTCGTTGTGCTACTTGCGAGTTTTTTTTTATAACTCTTTATTGACATTTTTTTCTTCATATTTCTTGTTATAAGATGCTGTGAAATGTGTTATTTTCTTACCTGCATTGGAGTTTTTTTTACTAAGTTTTCAAAGTTAAGTGCGCTGACAATGTTGTTTTACTGCGTTGCTTGATCGCCATCTCGATACAAGACTTTGATATTTTCATATTTTGGAAATAATTTTGTTCTGAAACGGAGGAACCATGTTCATCAATCAGCCATAATGTTTCGTTACACTTCAGATCACTGTACAGATTCGATCACATGGAGACAGCTTCTTTGTATTTGTACATGTTTTTCTAGGTAATAAATACTTGTTACATGTTTTTTTCCAGCTTCAAGTGCTCTGAATTCTCTCGGTTATATCCCGTTAGTGCAAATATGATGATGATATACGAATTCTTTGTGTTTTACTGCTTTTTTAGCAGTTTTATGATCTTAGAGATTTGCATTTAGGGAGACTGAGTGATATGCAAAGCAGCCGATGCCAGACAAGATATGAACCCACGTATCACCCATACCACGGGTCGCGTGCTATTACTATACCATCGAGCCTCAGCTACCACTTCTTCTTCGATATAGACTATCGTAGCTTCGAGCAACCACGGTTTTGGTCGGGTAGTCGCATATCAACACCAAACTCGCTTAAGCTGGCAGCCGTTCGAAATGTAGCAAAGCGATGGCCTCGGTGGTGGAGTGGTAGCACGTGCTCCTGGTGTAGGTGAACTGCGGGGTCGACTCCTGCCTGGGGTTGGATGTTTTGCGCATCACTCAGTAATCTTTGATGTGCATAGAAATGACGTTTGTTGCTCTAGTCTTGGCTGGTAGAGTTTGCTCGAGCATAGGTTTTCAAGAGCGGATCATAAACTGACACCAATGTTATAGTTATGGTGTTCGTAAAGACATTTTCTTTTTACCTACTGCCTGGTCAATTTTACAGATTTGGTATCAACAGGCCCATAGGATATATCCGCAACATCATCTAAACGGTTGTTAACCCTGGTTCTTCTCCAGTCCGGTAATGAAAAGAGCTTGCATCGAGGATGAAGATGGAATACGGCAATCGCCGTCCAATTCACTGTCGAATGCCTTTCAGTTGCAGGTATTGACTTCCCTTCGTAGGTATCATGTCAGCCTTCTGCGGACCACGTGTGTTCGTTTGAACACGCGACTATATAGAGGCTTTTTTTGCGGGACAAGGGTATTTCGTTATTTTTAGTAGTGATTCGATAGCTTGAGAAACGACTGTTTCATTAATTCCAAAAAAAAAGGATGTTTTTAGCCTAAATGAGTTTGGTACGCCAGGGCCATACACCGGTGTTTCGGAGGTTCGTCCTCCTCGTCAGTGGCCCACGCCCCACATTAAGTCCTGCATTGAAGCAAGGAGGGAGGCGTATGTGGTGATGGCATAGTGTACAATGACACTGGTCATCACCACTGTTCAGTCGATGGATTTCGGATGGACAGTCGATCATAGGGATTATTTTGGTCAACCAGCCGAAATCCATCGACTGAACAATGGTGATGGACCAGTGTCATTGTACACTATGCCATCACCACATACGCCTCCCTCGCACAAATTCATCTAGCAGTAGATCTTGATTGCTGCTGGACAACTGCGAAACAGCAAACATAGGTGCGGTATGTGCATGAAATGGTACCGATGAATAGTTTAAAGCAAGAAGCCACAGTGAAGCCTTAAGTACAATCTACAGTACAGAGCGGGGTGGCGCAGTAATTAATGATGCAAAGTATCAGAGAGCGAAGCGATAAGCGATGCGCTGGTTCGATCCCCTCCGCTCTCTTGTAATCAATCAACTGAACTCCATAGGAAACGCCTTAGCTCGCCCACCTCCAAGATTAGAAGGAACATAGCGTTGACCTGCATTCTACGGCATTCGCGAAGAACCCGAAATCCTCAAGCAGCTGCCAGACATTACGTGAAGTGTTCGAAGACCTTTGTGTAAGATCAATGCGTAGGATCGGATCGAATGCAAGAAGTGGTGAGATTGGGACCAAGGTCGTGTAAACTAAATATTAGTAAAACAATGATGAAGTATTATAAGAGAGTAACTGGGATCGTGAAATTAGTGAAGAGGCTCACAGTAGTCCGCTCTTTTCACGTGTATTCACTTACTCGATTCAGGCAAAATTTGATGCCGAAGTTAATGGATAGACGGTGAGACAGCAAATTTGTTTTTGGATTGACGTGAAATCAATCCTCAACCTTGCTTAGCAATCTAGTTCTTGGACGATATAATACCGTTTTAGTGTGAAGATGCAGAGAGAGATCGTCATGCTCCTTGCGAAGTGGTGGCAAAGTGGAAGAAAGTGGCCAGGACAGTGGCGGATGCATTGAAGACTGCGAAGTTGAAGCATTCTTGTGAGGTGAGAAGCTGTCACAGAGAGCATGCAGACTATCCGATATGTCAGGGAATTTTCTGGGACTGTCTCCGAGTTGAGATCTGGGAGAAAAATGCGAATTACTTGTAAGTGACCTACACGTTGTGACACTATATCGCTTCACCCTTTCGGTACCGTGGGCACGCCTCGACTCTACATCTCTAACTCCCAACGTTGCAGTGCTGGACGGTCTCCCCTCCCTGCACCTCTAACCCCTAGCGTGGAGCGTGTTGAATTTACTATTGTACTATCTCAAACGTATTATTGATGTTATTTTCCTATGTTATGTTTTATGTAAATATGTATGTTGTTATTTTTAGCGAATAACAACAATAATACACTTAAAATGACCCACTCTGGAGGTAAGAGATATAGAGGAGGTGGGTCCACGGTCCCGAAAAGGTACTTAATTCTGAGGTATTGCGTATGACTGATCTGCTATCGCATTTGACAGAAATGAATTGAATTCAAACTGTGAATGCCTGAGAACATTTGCATCTACCAGTATTCAACAAGTACCGCTCAATACATAGCGGATTCTACTTTTTTTGCTATTGAGAACAAGTCAGGGAAGCCTTCGGATCTTTTCGGTCCTTATAGACGACCCCTTATTCCTATCACTGTGAAATTTTAGCTTTCAGAGCCTATAAGGTTTTTTTCCTTTTTTCTATCAGAAACTCATCGTGTTTCGGAGTGAGCTGCATGCATGAGCATGAGATGCATGAGCAAAGTGAGGAAAATGATAAAGCATGTAAGATTTCGACCGACGGGGTACAGTAGTAGTCTCTTCTACCAAATTAATTTTCTTTTGTTAATTTCTGTAGATGTATTTATGTCTTCAAAGCTGTGAACTCTCAAAGAAATTTTTTCGTTCTGATGAAGATCTGTTACAGTATAAGGATTTGGAGTACTGGTCAAAGTTTGGAATCACTCATCCACTTGTTGAACATGCAAACGCCGTTTCACTAACGACATCGAGTGTACCGACGTACAAGTGGGCACCTCCTCAAGATGTAATGATTTATGTAGTTTATCATTCACAAGTTTTTTTTCTATTTTACCTCTCTCTTAGCAGTGTTATGATTCCATAAAACCTGGCGTAGTATCTAAATTCTCGCTGCAACACGTGGGCGTTTAGGCAAAGGTCGATAGTTCGATACCGCGCCAAGGCTCACAATGCCTTCCATGCCTCAGGGGTCGGTGAACTGGTATCAGACTTGTTTAGGAAGATCACAGCTGACTTTATACATCAGGGAGCTCCCACGAATAATTTATAAAGGCTAGATATCTATTCACTCCCCTCAAATGATGGCAAAAATTGGAGATAGTTGCATGGCGCGCTCCTCGCATTGACCAACGCCGAAGGCTCTATTTCTTATCTCTACTAGTGACTTTATATATCTAGGAATGCTGAGTAATGTGCCTTTCACGCGGGAGTTCTGGATATCACTTAGCGTCCATGGATATGTAGCTTATGTTTCCTGTATTAGCTGCATCTCATGTGATTCTTTTCTACATTACAGTTTGGTTATTTAGGTGAAGGTTTTCGAGGACTCTGTTATACATTTGTTAAGTGCTAACTACTTCGTCGTTGATGTGTACGTGACACTGCCTGACGTAAGTTCTACTTCTTGCTTGGAACTTCTTTCAGATCATTTTCACTTCTCCATTTGGCAGTCATGATTGAATATTGAGTTCTTTTCTATTCTGTAGCACAGATTTTCAAGCTTATCCCGTACACCGGACAAGAAGTTTTCATAAAGAGTTCATGTAATCGTTTAATGTCTTCAATCTTAAGCTAGCGCTGTACATGGCCCCTCTTGCCCAGCGAAGGGGATAGGCTTGGAAATGTGTGCTGCCAAACGGAAAATTACCGAATATTGTCTGCACATTAATAAACACTTACTTCTTATTTATTACTTTACACGATCCATTATTACAGTCTATTATGCGGATCTCAGCACTTTTAGCGTTTGATCGTTTCCTTGTATTGATCAAGCCAACGGTTTTCAAGCCGGTCGTGTATTGTTTCGACTGCTGCCTGAGGGTTTCGCCTTTTTCACAAATCACTTAGAATACTGATCGAGACGTTTTTTTTTTGCAGTCTCGAATGTGGTCGAGCTTGAGGCGTCCATTGAGAGACATTTGGAAAATCATTCCCAGTCCGCATCTTATATGTGTATCTTTCTGTCCATGTTTTGAAAAATTCACACCTTTCTCCTATCCAAGTTATGTTTCAGGTTCTTGTACACTTCCGTGTGTGTGATGCTCAAAGAGCTTTTGTGTGCAGAAAGACACTTTTTCTGTGTAATAATATGCTGTCAACGATCAAAGAATTATATTAGTTCTTCGAGGAATTTGACGACTTTTGAAAATAATCACTACGACATATTTCTTTCAGTTGATATCCTCTCATTTCATGCAATACCAAAAAGTCATTATCACGATTAAAAATCAAAAAGTGGTGAACTTCTCGTCAAAAGTATGCTGCACTCTACATGTGATACCAGTTTACGAAAGTGAGAGCATTTCTAGGCCTCTCTGACGGCGACACCCTCGACAAAAAACGGCTTTCATCGGAAATAAGAGGTTGAGTAAGGAATATTAATGAAACGTCCTTCTATGACTCAAGTCGCTATTCTACGTCTGCGTGGGAGAAACTATCAGTTTACCACAAGTCTTGGAAAGGCCTCTGTACACCAAAACTGATCGTGCCGACCGCTGTGTCTCAGCAGAAAACACCATCAGAGTTCTTTGTCTTGAATGTACTACCAAGCATACCTCACCTTATAGTAGACTTCATTCACGCAGGCATTTACAACCTAGAAATCTTTATCAGGAAGGCCCAAATGTTTTGTCCTCTTAGCTTCAGTTTCATAGTCCTCATGGTACTTATTAAATTTTTTTTTTGCTTCTTCGGTTAATACCTTCTCGAACAGGAAATCTATTAGATAGCACGTCTCTCTCGTATAGTTGTCCTAAAATTCATCAGTGGTAATCTCAACTGATGTTCTTACACTAGAATCCTGAAGAATTCCCCCTCGATGTTCTGATAACGTGAGCTGTGAGAGGCTTTCAGACAGGACTCGCTAATCAGAGAAGATATTCAATTCCCTAGGATGCGACTTACACCGAGTTCTTTTCTGTAACTCTATCTAGTTCTATATATGTGCTCAAGTTGTTATCATCATCACAAGTGCTTTAGTTATCCAGAACTCCCTCAATATCTCATTTAAAAGTGTAGTAGAGATGGCAGTGAAGTAGCTCATTTCGTCTGGCAAAAGATTCTGTTCAGTGATTATTTTTTTATTTTTTCCTTCATTTTCTATTAATATAATGTTTTTATGATT